GGGATGCACAGTTGGGTGCTGGTGAAGGATTCTCACAGACTGGATCCAGCTGTCCTAAAACTGCTTGGGGTACTTGTGGGCTCACTTGTCTGCAAGCTGGAGTCACCAGGGGCTAGAATTTGTGCGTGCAAGTCTCCAGCTAGGACGCTGGATGTGTCCGTTCCCCCATCGCTTACCACTCTACATGCGAGTTAGTAACTGCCGCATGTCCCTGCAGAGTCCACCCCTTCAGCCTTACATAATGCCACTCTCTAACCTGCTGGTGTTCCTGTTATGAAACCTGTTTTGTCTAAAATTAACCCAGATGTGCTATTTTAACCAGTGTTAGTCTAGTACCTATTGATCCATTTGCCTTCCTTATTCTGGCATTTGAAAGGTGAAACATCTTTTAAATTCTATTTATTAAGATTTTGTGCTTGTATATATTCATCCTGTAGTCAGTGTTACAGTTTCATCGTTATTTTCATACAAGTATTTTGTGCCTTGACAATGTTTGCCCAGTTTATCCCCCATGGCCCTCTTCCTTCGCATCCCTTTTCTCAATTAGAATCCTCTTACATACACACACACACACACACACACACGCACACAAATACACAGAAGCTCACTCACACACATTTAGGTTTGACATATGAGTGAAAATCGTCAGGCTTAGTCTTCTGAGACTGGCTTATTTTGCTGAATGATCTCAGGTTCCATCTATTCTGAAAATGACAAAGTTTTCTTCTCTAAGGCTTTTTGTTTGTTTATTTGTTTTTGGTTTTCAAGACAGGGCTTCTCTGTAACCCTGGCTGTCCTGGAACTCACTCTGTAGACCAGGCTGGCCTTGAACTCCGAGATCCACCTGCTGGGGTTAGAGGCACGCACTACTGATGTTGAACATGTCTTGCCTACTGTGCACGGGCGTCGGTCAGCACGAGCTGCCTGTAGTGGCACATAGCCCATATCCGCAACATGTGGGGTGGAGGGAGGAGAAGTGGAGGGTTAAGCTCAGCCTGTGCAGATGCAGTGATTTCGAGGCCAGCCTGGGCCACAGGAGCCCTACCTTAAAATAAAATAAACAGGGTGTTCAGGTACTGTTTTTTTACTTCTAATCTTATCCTATGTGAGTTTCCTACAACATGGGATTTGTCATTTAAAAAAATTCACTCTGAGGGGGGAAAATCACTTTTAGTTGGTGTATTTACACTAAAACCATGAAGTCATAAGTTGATGCAGTGAAGGTAATTTCTACCTTCTCGTTGCTTATTACCCTGTTTCAGCCCTCCTTTATTTTAATTGAGTGCTCTGTGAGAGCCCATTTTCTCTTCTCTCACTGACTTTTTTTCTTGGGCAACTCTAGGTTCTGAGCCACAGGACTCTCTCTCTCTCTCTCTGAAGAAATCTTGTGGGTTGGTCAGCTGGGAATCAGTTGCCTGGAATTTTTTTTTTTTTTTAAAGAAAGCGTTTCTCTTTTAGGATATTAAAAACTGTATTATTTTGTGTGTGAGAGTGTTTTGCCTGTGTGTGACTCACATGTGTGCAGTGTTCCTGGAGGCCAGAAGAGGGCGTCAGATTCCCCTGGGACTGGAGTTGCAGATGGTTGTGAGCCTCCTAGTGGGTGCTGGGAACTGAACTTTGGTCCTCCGGAAGAGCAGACAGTCCTTCAACTGCTGATCAATCTATTCAGCTCCCTCCAGGATTAAAAAAAAAAAAAGTTTAATAGCATTATTGTTTCTAGACATAAATCTTGCTGTGTGTTCCAGGCTGGCCCTCAGTTTTCGTCCTCCTGCCTGCGCCCAAGCTCTGGATCGCTGACGCGCACTGCTGTGCAGAGGTCTCTCAGCTTGATGGCTGCCCTCGCTGGCTGCGCACCTGAGGGCTGGCGGTGTTTTCTTTCACACCAGCTTGCTGGGTCCCTGCCACGCTGCTGGATTACAGGCACGTGATTCTTTCAGTTTTGGAGGATAATCTCCCTCTGTGGGGTGGATTTGCAGGTTGGCTTTTAAATCCTCTCCCTCTCTATCCATTTCACTTTACTGTGCTCTTGCCTTCCTGTTAGACAGGCTAACCTGTTAAATATGATTATCACAAGCTCACACTCAGTCTGCGCTCAAGAGTTTACTAGCGCCTCTGTTCAGTTGTTCCTGAAGTCCATGGCTCCAGACTGGGGAACTCTACCCCCCCACCTGTGACTGGATGCCTGCAGTCTCTAGATTTGGGGATTGTGGTCTGACTTGTGACCTCAGTTCTTTGGTAACGTGAGGAAAAGTCCCCACTCTCGGGCTGCTCAGTTCTCTCTTGTGTGGATGGAATGGCTTCCAGGCTGGGCCAGAGTGGAAGTCCCCTTGTGGCTTTCTGCACACAGCCTTCCCACCTTCCCACTAGTTGAAGGGCGTGGTTTTTGTAAGACATCCTGACCCTCCAAAAGCACCTGAATCTTAGAGAGGGGAATAACTGATCTGTCCAGTCAAAAAATCCCTGCTTTTCTGTGGCTGCTCTGAGCTGCTACACACCTGTCCCCCATCCTTGTCTCTTGGTTCCTGAGTCCCCAGGAGGCTGGGGTGCTAGCTGGTGGTAAGTGCCCGCCTAGTGTGTGCACAGCACCAGACTCAATCCCCAGCACTGCCAGTCAGACAGAGAAGGAAGCTCTAGATCACGCTTGTAAAAGTGCCAAGGGTGGGTGGGGCAGTTAGCCCCTTTCTAATTTTCCTTGGCTTCTCTGTCACCACCCCAGTCCGCCTTCGCTAGACAAATGTGCTATCTCATCTTTTGCAAACACACCTTTGGTCCTCCTACCTAACAGCTGCCGTTTGGATTTTGTATCAGGAGAGGCTCTATTCCAGAAGGCAGCTGCTCAGTCACCCGGAAGGTGGGAGCACCGGAAGGAGGCATGGTTTCTAGGTAGCAGAGTAACACTGGATTTACAGCCTGTGTGCCCTTTATCCTTCTCCTGAGATGCTCATTGAGTAGGGCCAGAACAAGGGGCTTGTGGGATAGTTGGAGCCTGGCTAGGGTGAGGAAGAGTGTCTGCTAGGGCAGTTATCCTGGCTGCAACAAGACTGATGGGTAACTAAGCATGCCAGGAGTCGTGAAAGCCAGGCTTGGTGAGGCATATCTGTCATCCTTACTCAGAAGGCTGAGGCAGGGTAGTGGTAACATAGAGGCTAGACTGAGCTTGCTCGAACGGATTTTTCTTAGTGTTGTCTTTGATGTGGTTAGAGGTTACAAGTTTCGTGGAAAGAATATTTGGTATTCCTTGTGTGTATATATATATATATATATATATATATATATATATATGAATACAAACTGAAACATTAAGTGTATATATACATAAATATATGTGCACATATGTAAACATGTATATCTATGAACACATCTATGTGATACACAGTCATGTATGTAGCACATATGTATATGTATATATTTGTTTTTATTTAGTCATATGTTTGTATTTATGTCTATATGCACATACACAAACATATATATATATTTTTATTTTATTTTATTTTTTTTTCAAGACAGGGCCTTACTGGGTAGCTTTGGCTGTCCTGAAACTCACTCTATAGACCAGGCTGGGTTTGAACTCACAGCGATCCACTTGCTTCTGCTTCCAAGCGCTTGGATTAAAAGCATGTGCCCTTATGCCTGGCTTTCTTTTTAAGAGCGGCCACAGCTCTTATCAACTCTCCGGGTCCTGTAGACACAGTCTTCGGCTCTCCCCTCTGAGATCCTGCCGTGATCCTGACCAGCAGGGACTAGCTTTCAACTGCAGCGCCTCGCTAAAGGAGGAGTTCCCCTGGAAAAATGGCTGCTTCCAGGGCGGGAGCAAGGATGGTGCGGATGAAGCTGGGGTCCTTTACTGTGCTACAACATGTAAAGAACAGTGAAGACATGTTCCAAGGACTCAAACCTGCTAGGAGAGGTTCTCTGGGATAGGCTGAGCATTCAGGGAAGTAAGGATAGGAATGACTTACCACCCAGGCTGGAAAGTAGGGAATGCACGGCCACGTTGATGTCAAGGAGTGAATACTGAGGAGCTGAGGAGTGGGAGGTTCCTAGTTGGTCCACAGGCTGCTTGTTCAATACTGTTGCAGTGCAGAAGCCTGGAAGTGACTGTGTGTGTCACTATGGATGCAGGTGCCCGCAAGGGCCGGAGGGGCCTCAGATCCCTTGATCCCTTGGCGCTGGAGTTCCGGCATTTACGAGCCACCCAGTGCTCAACAGTCACATGACAGAGCAGCGAGCTCTCTTAGCCAATGAGCCGCTCTCCAGTCCCAACCAGCCTCTGCCTTAACCGTGTGACTGCGCACACGTTGCTGGGAATGAGTGGGAATGAGTGGAAACGGGCCTCTGTCTGGCAGCCTGTGCTGGAAAGGACATTTGTAACCAAGGTGGTCACCATTATAGACAGCCACAGCACACAGCCCAAACTGCGGGGTGCGCTACTGAAACTGGGCCTGTGATCATCAGACACGTTAAGGCCAGGGAAAGCCAGGTTCCCAGGTGCCGCAGAAAGTGGCTGACTCCACCCCTTGGCTCTGCACCCCGTGGCTCTGCACCCCGTGGTCTGCACCCTGTGGCTCTGCACGGGGCCCATGGCAGAGGACACTGCAGGTTGCTCCCCACGTCTGGGAGCTGTGACTCTCCTCTGTAATGGTGTGGGGTTGATTGAGGAACTTCTGGGTATTTTGAATCTGCATCTTTCACCGGGTGTGTGCTACAGTCCTCATGGGATGCAGGCAGGGGCAGGCAGCTCCTGCCTCCAGGTTCCTGCCCTTCTTTGAGTCCTGTCCTGACTTCCTTTGATGGTGAACAGTGGTGTGGAACTGTGAGCCAAATCAACCCTTCCCTCCCCGAGTTGCTTCAGCCATGTTGCTTCATCACAGCTCTGGTTACCACGCCAAGAAAGGGACCGTTGTCATGGAAACCTCCACAGCTGCATGCATGGGAGTAGGGGATGCTTTGGCTGCTGGGTGGGGACTCACAGATGTCCTCTCTCCTTGTCTCTCTTGAAGGTCGCCTTGTGGGTGCTCTGGACACGGTACTGGATTCCAGCGCACGGGTCGCTCCCTTCCGGATTCTGCTTCAAGTCCCCGGGTCCCAGGTTTATTCTCCCATAGCATGTGGTGAGTTACTGAATGGATCAGACATTTACTGGGCCATTGCCGCTGGTGAGTTTTGTTCCACTCGGAACATTCCAGACCTTGCGGTCAAAGCATGCTGAGTGTCTGCATGTCAATGGTGTTTGAAATGAGACGCCTCTGGAGCGCTGTGTCCGCTCTTTCCCTCGCTCTTGCCACCTTGTCTTCTTGCTCTCCTCCTCTTCCTCTTCACCCTTTGTGCCTCTGTTCTCACTCTTTCCCACCTCATCCTCCGTGTCTCTGTGCCACTTTCAACCATCACAACTGCATAAAGGCTGGGCCTCTGGGCGCCGTGTCTCTAGCGGTGTCTCAGAGCCCTAGCACTGCTCCAAGTGAACCGAGCCCATTTCTCTGACCTGTGTGCCCTGTATGCACACCTCTGTAGTGACTGGAGGCCGAGTCTGAGGGCTGTGTCCGATTTGTTTTATACATGAAATGAATGCACAAAATACGTGCAAAAAGAAAGCACTGCTCTGCCAGGTGCTGGGGGAATTTGGAAATCACCCCCGGTTTTCATTGCAGGGCTCTGTTCTTGCTGCAGGGGCTGCTTGCTGCTGTACTGAGGCCCTCAGGTCCCCCAGGATGGAAGCACCTAGCTGGCAGCAAAGCCCGAAGTCTGCTCTTTCCATGAGACACACGCTCTATTTACACACTAAGAGAACACAGAGACCTTTATTCCAACGCTGGATTCAGGTCGCTCTGTCTCTGTGTGCACGTGGCTGCAGTGGTTTGGCTTTGCATCGGTGCAGCAGGCTTCGCTCATGGCCTCCTGTCCACCAGCTGTCCTGGACATGGAAAAGGCAGAAGTTTGAAAACACTTCTCAATCCCACCCACCATGCCGTTCTAACCACTGTTAACATCCGGCCCACTCTCGCCTGCTCTTCTCTCTTAACTAGGGCAGATCGTTTCAATAAAAAAAAAAAAAAAAAAAAAAAAAAAAGATTTATACAGAAATGCCTTTAACAACAGAAAGACGATGCCTGTTGCCTCAGACTCTAGTTTCTGCTAAGTACCTTCTAGTTACAGCAAATGGACTCTTTGTGAACAGCTCTCCAGAGGGGCAGACAAGGGCGGCTACTAAGATGGGTACAGGCAATGCTGGTTTATGTGTTACAATTAGTTAGTTTCAATAGACAGAAAAGAACTAAAGAAGAACAAAAAATGGCTAAACTTCAAATGTTTAACATGGGAAATTCTTGTTTCTGAAAGGTACATGTAAGGCTGAGGCCAGGGACTTTGTTTCGAAATACAAAGTATAGTGCCGGAAAACCAGCGTTTCGGTCCCAACAGTGCTTTCTGTCGCCTTGCAGGAGGAAAGTCCCGGCACATTTTTTTCTTCTGCTTCTAGTAGTTCTCATTTAACCAGAGCTGTTGCTATTATGTTACTCATCCCACTGAGACCTGAAACACTGTTTCCTATGGTAATTTCTGGTGCGTGTTTAGCAGGTGTGGGTGTGGTTCTTCCTGCGGTTCGCAGAGGCCAGGCTGATGCCACACCTCCTCTCTTCCTTGTTCTGTCGAAGCTTGGTCTCTCACTGAAGGGGCTGAACAGCGAGCCTGAGGGATCTGCCCATGTCTACCAGATCCCAGCCCTGAGGTAGCAGGCGCTGCTGTGCTGGACTGTACATGGACGAACGTGATCTGCGTCCTCAGGGTCCCCCTCTCTCTCTCCCTTCTTCCTCCCCTCTCTCTTCTGTATTTTCTATTATTGTTTGTCTCAGTTTTTATGCAGATTTTTTTGAGACAGGCTTTGTCTATGTAGCTTTGGCTGTCGTGGACTCACTTAGTAGATCAGGCTGGCCTCGAACTCACAGAGATCCACCTGCTTCTGTCTCCCCGAGTGCTGGACATTGCCCAGCTATTATGCAAATTTAATACTTACAGGTTCCAGACCTGGAAGCTTTCTTTTGGTCCATTTCTTTAATTTTTCTTTTTCTTTCTTTTGGGGGCTGGGCTTCCAGGAAGTCATCCCATCCCTTTATCCTGGAACTCTGTGTAGACCGGCTGATCTTGAGTTCACAGAGATCGGCTTGCTTTGCCTCTCAAGTGCTCAGATTAAGGTGCGAGCCACCAGTCCTGTTTTTTTGTTGTTCGTGGCTTAGCTGGCTAGATCCTGTTCTCACCTGAGCAGTGTATCTTGGGTATTTGTTAACATTTACAGACACCTGCCTCTGGCTTTTGACTTTGGGAGCCGAGTCTGATGTAGTCATAGGCCGCGATCTGCGCTTGCTGGCAGCTGTCCCAGACTCCTCTAGTGTTTGCTACGGCAACACAGGTTTCCGCTCATTACTCGTTCCCACTTGTGGATTATATGCTTTTCAAGCATGCAAAACTGCTTTTATCCCCGGGGCTAGAAAGATTTGACTAGAATCTGTTATTCCTATGAGCTCAGTAGGTTGGCCATTTGTAGGCACACTGTGCTCTTACAATCAATCAGCACAGTGATTTCTGAAATTGTTGTGGGAATTTTTTTGCTGTAATTCTGCTTATGGATTTTGTTTGAAAACTCTTTTCCTGGCATTTACTGCATATTGGGTAGTTTTTGGTGTTGGTATTGCATTTCTGTTTGTTTTTCTCTGACCTGTTAAGACTGTTCTCTTTATTCACTTCATAATTCTTAAGTTAATTGTTTTCAGCAATATATTCTGTACCTTGTTTTTAACTTACTTACCTAGGTTTTTTTTTTTTTGTCAGATGTTGATCAGTAATTCACAGTCTCCAATGTCTTTTTTTATTTCTTCTACTCCATCTTCTCCTCTGAGACTTCTTCTGTTCCCGCCTTGTTCTTGGGAGCATGAAGTGTTTCTGAAACATTCCCTCTTCTTCACGGGGTGCTCCACTTTCTGCTGGGACAGTCTCTATCTCTGAACCATTTTTCCTCATCTGTCCATGTTCCTTGATGTCCAGCGCGGTGCTGGTCCTTATCTCACTCGCGCTTGGGCGTCAGATGCTGTGCTGGCATCAGCATGCCGTGACTTTAGCTTGGGTTCAGAGGATAGAACAGAGAAGACTGACATTCTGCTGGACCGGATGTAGTAGGGAGACAGTAGCATCCCCATCTTTCCTCATGGCTACCCTGCACCCTACCTCAAGCAAGAGTTGCCCGTGCTCTGAATTGGAAGCCTTGGATTTTTATCTCCTCACCACTGTGGCTTCAGAGAACTCCCAGAAGCTCGGGGAGAGTCTGCTCACATGTCTGCTGTGTCCACGAATCTACACGCTCTAGATGCAGCTGCCCAATGCATTCAGCCCCATGGCTATAGCTCAGCTTCTTTGTCTAGATCTCCAGCACATGTTAATTGCTCTTGATTTTTCACTGCTTTCCAAGCAATCTTCTCACTTTTTAAAAATCTCAGAACACTTCTCTTTCCTCTAATCATTTGGAGGAGTGTCTGGTTCCTGCTACAGACCAGACAGCTTCCTGATGCAGGAGATCCTGTGGAGAATGTGTCAGCTGTGCGGGGCCATGGGAGTTGTGCATAGCAGTGTGGGAAAAGACTGGTGCACGGAGGTCAGCAAAGGACACGGTGGATAGAGAAGCCTTGAAAGGGGGACAAGACATGTATGTATGTGCCTTTTATGCTAAGTATTTCCAAATTCCCCTAAACTCCCCCACCATTGCTTGCGGTGGCTTCTCTGGCTCCCCACTGCACCAGGCAGCTGTCCTGAAAAGCTGAAGCCATTCTCACACTGTTGATCCAGGATGGGCTTCCTGCATCTGGCTTGTGCCTTGGGCTTGACACAGCCTGATTTTGCAGAGATGCCACTTTCCCTGTCGTCTTGCTTGCAGAAGGTCCTGCAAACAATACTTACCTTCTCAGTAGGTTTTTCTTATTGGGAAATGTGAGCTTGTTCGGTCTTGGACCTGTGAGGTTGATGCGGATGCTGAGGTTTCTGTCGCCGGTCACTTGGGCATCTTACATTCAGCTCTACTCATCACAGTTAATACTGAATTGTGACCTGAACCTTGAGGAAGGTCCCTGCCTATGGTTTGGGGCCCCTGGAAAAGAAGAAAGCTGTAGGAAGGGTCTGTGTCCAGCCAGGGAGAACAATCTACAAGAGGAATCCAGACCTTCACTTAAGCGTGACTGTTGGATGGTGAGCTGGAGAGCTGAGCAGAGTCTTTGAGTGTCCATTTCCTCTTTTTAGGCAGAGGTGAAGGAGATGGGTGGATTGTCTCATGGGTCAGCTAATTTACTTGGCAAAAGGCCTGAAGGTAACTGTGGTCTAGACAGAGACAGGATATGGGCCATTTTCACAACATGGACCAAGCAACCATAGGCTCTGCACAGATGGTCAGAATCTGTAGCTGAGGCAGAATCGGACACTGCTAGGGAGATGGGTTGTTTTTGAGTTGTGGACAGAGAAATGGGCCCAGCCCTCCAGCTCAGAACCCAGATCTTTTCTTCCCTGGCATCTGCCACCTGCTTCTCTGAGCACTGGTGTTTTCTTGCTTCTTGTCTGCTTCCACTATGGAAATAACTCAGAGATTTTTCAGAATGGTGACCAAGACAATACCAAGTATGTCACTTGTAAGTCTTGGCAAATCACCACCGGGAGAACGAGTTGGGAAGAACTGGAGCTCCTCTGTAAGGTGATGTGGGTTCACGTGGCCCTGGATGTTAGGGCTTGGGCAAAGGGTTTCCATCTTTATAATGGTACCGAGGCACAGCAACACTGCTGTTTATGCAAGAGGTTTTGTGGTCAGTGAGTTTGCCCAGCCCTCAGGCTGACGGAAGTGTACCAAGCACCCTGAAGGCAGGCCAGGCTTGGGATCAGAGTGCCGAGAACATCTCAAACTCAGCAAAAGCTCTAGCTTAGGAGCTGATCCGGTTGTACCCAACCAACAATTATCAGCATTAATTTCAAACGAATCTTCTTGGGTCACCTTGACACAGGCTGGAGTCATCAGAAAGGAGGGAGCCTCAGTTGAGGAAAAGCCCCCCCACCCCATCAGACTGGGCTGTAGTAAGCTTGTAGGGCA